TGAAGTACAGTGATGGAGCAGTGGAACATTCATCATCTAAGCCATACCATTTTTACTTCTTTTGGCTTCTTTTATTACCATAACTAACCTGCATTATTTCTGAAAAGTGGATTGATCTTGATTTTTCATTTTTCACATTGTTTAGATGAAAGCCTGTTTATCCAAAATACTGCCCTTATGTTAGGAATGAACATTTATGCTTCCTAATTGGAGGACTATATTAATCTAAATGGTTGTTTTTTAAAATCTATTTTTTCCTTCTTTTAGCTGGCCTTTTCTCCTGCATCATGTTTTCCATTTTGAGGGTTTTCAGCTTTGTCCATAAATTAAGAGTCACCTGAGGAGCTTTTTTGAAAAATGCGTAGATCCAATCTCTGGACATTTTTATTCAGTCATCCAGAGTAGAGCACTTTTGTATATAATTATTTAATTGTTTATTGTCTTGCCTTTCCTGTAAGCAAGGCCTATATTCCCAGTGCCTTGTACAGTACTTCAAATATAGGTATTTAATAATTGTTACATGACTGTTTCCATTTGTGACATATTTTAATTTCATATCAGAAAGAATTGGAACTATTCTTTTACAGAAAAACCGAGAGAGTATTTAATATCTATATTGGAACAGCTGAGAACTGCCAAAGTATCAGGCATGGCTTTCCCTTTCTTTATGGATAACTCTAACATTACAGCCATGTTTCAGATGCTGGACTCCTCGAATAAAGGATCCATATCATTTATACAATATAAAGAAGGTCAGTATCTTCTACAAATTGAGGTAATAATTTGTGGTCATTCCGTAAATTTCCCTAGCTGAAACTAATTCTCACTTTTTAAATTTTCCTTTCTTCTTATCCTCATAGCCCTAAAAACCCTGGGTCTGTGTACTGCAGATGAAGTTTTAAAAGATGATGGACATGGAATAACTTGTGAAAAATTCATGCTTGAAGTGTAAGTTTATTTTTAAGTGACTAATATTTAAATAACGTGGCATGATTTTGAAGTACAATTAATACATTTTAAAACAAAGGTTCCTACCTTCTGATAGAAACATTTCATTCCCCTGAAACTTTCAGCTGACTAGAAAGTGAGGACAGGCAGGGCTGACAGTACTCTCTAAGCCTGGGGGGAGGGGAGGGAGAGGATGCTGGGGTTAGGAGGATCCAGAGGCAGCTTCCTTCTTTTCTCAATGGGAAACCCCAGCAATTCTCAAAGAATGAGGTAGAGAAGCGCCGATCTGCTAGAAAAACTAACAGAAAAGTTTTAAGCTCAATATACTAGTTGGAAAATCTCTGTATATAGAGTAATAAAATTTCTCTCAAAATACTTCCTAAAAATGATTTCGTAAATGTTTATCAATAGTATAGGCTGCATGCCAGCCTGACAATTTTGGGTTTGAGGTATTACAGCATGAAAAGTACTAACTAAATGCTAAGTCAGAAAAGAAAAAAAACAGCGGAGGGAATAAAACTTGATAGTTCTGGAAGCCTCTAGCTAATCTAGTTCAGTTTGTTTAAAAGTTTTATTTAACATAATCCAAGGCCAAGGAGAAGTTAGAAGAAAAAAGTTTAAGATTCTCATCTCATCATTAGTTACATAAATATTCAACAAAAAATGTTTAATTATATTACCTACCCCAGAGAATGATGGTAGCACAGTGCTGTAGCTGAAATGTTTCATCCACAAAGCAAAGGTTGCCCACTGTCACATGGAATGGAACTAGGAAGTATTCTGAATGGAAAGACATTTGTAGAAAATGAGAGCAATCCTATTTCAGTCACTATCTCATAATATGTTTTCTTACGGGAAATATAGTGAATTTCCAAAATAGATACAGGAACTTCAATTATAAACATTTTATTTTATTTTTTAACATCTTTACTGGAGTATAATTGCTTTACAATGGTGTGTTAGTTTCTGCTGTATAACAAAGTGAATCAGCTATACATATACATATATCCCCATATCTCCTCCCTCTTGCATCTCCCTCCCACCCCTCTAGGTGGTCACAAAGCACCAAGCTGATCTCCCTGTGCTATGCAGCTGCTTCCTACTAGCTATCTATTTTACATTTGGTCGTGTATATATGTCCATGCCACTCTCTCACTTTGTCCCAGTTTACCCTTCCCCCTCCCTGTGTCCTCAAGTCCAGTCTCTACGTCTGAGTCTTTATTTCTGTCCTGTCCCTAGGTTCTTCAGAACCTTTTTTTTTTTTCTTTAGATTCCATATATGTGTGTTAGCATACGGTATTTGTTTTTCTCTTTCTGACTTACTTCACTGTGTGACAGATGCTAGGTCTGTCCACCTGACTACAAATAATTCAATTTCGTTTCTTTTTATGGCTGAGTAATATTCCATTGTGTATATGTGCCACATCCTCTTTATCCATTCATCTATCGATGGACACTTAGATTGCTTCCATGTCCTGGCTATTGTAAATAGAGCTGCAATGAACATTGTGGTACATTACTCTTTTTGAATTATGGTTTTCTCAGGGTATATGCCCAGTAGTGGGATTGCTGGGTCATACGGTAGTTCTATTTTTGGTTTTTTAAGGAACCTCCATACTGTTCTTCATAGTGGCTGTATCAATTTACCTTCCCACCAACAGCGCAAGAGGGTTCCCTTTTCTTCACACCCTCTCCAGCATTTATTGTTTGTAGATTTTTTGATGATGGCCATTCTGACCAGTGTGAGGTGATACCTCATTGTAGTTTTTTTTTTTTTTTTTAAATTTTTTTTTGTGGTATGCGGGCCTCTCACTGTTGTGGGCTCTCCCGTTGCGGAGCACAGGCTCCAGACGCACAGGCTCAGCGGCCATGGCTAACGGACCCAGCCACTCCATGGCATGTGGGATCTTCCCGGACTGGGGCATGAACCTGTGTCCCCTGCATTGGCAGGTGGACTCTCAACCACTGCGCCACCAGGGAAGCCCCTCATTGTAGTTTTGATTTGCATTTCTCTAATGATTAGTGATGCTGAGCATCCTTTCATGTGTTTGTTGGCAATCTGTATGTCTTCTTTGGAGAAATGTCTATTTAGGTCTTCTGCCCATTTTTGGATTGGGTTGTTTGCTTTTTTTGATATTGAGCTGCATGAGCTGCTTGTATACTTTGAAGATTAATCCTTTGTCAGTTGCTTCGTTTGCAAATATTTTCTCCCATTCTGAGGGTTGTCTTTTTGCCTTGTTTATGGTTTCCTTTGCTGTGTAAAAGCTTTTAAGTTTCATTAGGTCCCATTTGTTTATTTTTGTTTTTATTTCCCTTTCTCTAGGAGGTGGGTCAAAAAGGATCTTGCTGTGATTTATGTCATAGAGTTAAACATACATTTTAAAGTGATTTTTAAAAGTTTATTTGTTATGTTAGATCATCTACAACAGTCTCCCTGAATTGGCAAAGAAAATTAAAAGTTGATTATAATTTATTATCTCTGCTCTTGTATTTTATTCAACAGACATATTCATCATTTATATTTGTAAATGGAGTTACTCTGAGTTTTCATGGCTTCTGAGCTTTTTGTTTTTGTTTTCTTAGGAACAAGAAGACTCAGGAAATATGGTCAGCATTTTAATAACACTGTGAGTCCAAGATAATAAATGATTCTACATAGTTTTTAGTTGTTCAGTTTCATTAATTCAGAACTTCATCATATAACTTGAAATCCAACTGGCTCTGGCTTTTTCTTTATTTAAAAAAAACAAAAAACCCCAAAAGGAAAAAAGACACTTTATTTTCCAGTGTTAGGCCAGTTTGTCCTCAAATTAAGTAGAATCTCAACATCTTGTTGAGCCAGTTTATAAATTCCGACTTCATTTAATGCCGCTGTGGCAGGAGGTTGCCCTGAAGTTGACTGCAGGACATCTCTCAGAAGTAGGGCACAACCAGTGTTCAGATTCAAAACAATACAGGCTTCTTTTACACTGTTTAAAAAAAAAAAAAAAGCTGCAGGTAAATGAGATCTCCATTATCTATATCATCCCATATTACCCTGTAACAATTTCATTTTGAAAAACTAAACAACTACCCTGCACTGCTAGATCATATCATTTATAGTTTATAAAAACTATTTATAGGTGAGCTATTTGGCTCTTTTAATGTGTTTTGACTGTATATGTACAGAGTTTATATTTCATTAGATTACTATAAGGTAATAGGATCATTGATTTCAGTATGTATCCATTATTTCCCAAAATGTGATACTTGATAGTAACAGTCTATTAAATGTAGCTAAGACTTTAGGTACATTAGGATACAGGAAAAGAGAAAATTAAGGGACAAAATAAAAGCAGAAAGGTAGAATACTAAAAAAAAGCAGAAATAGATACCTTACTGAAATGAGCAAAAAAACTTTCATTTTATCTGTTTAAAAGGAATACTTTATAATCTCAAAAACCTAAATAATTTAAATTTTACATCAACAATTTCTAAAAATACTTGTAAGAATTCTCTTACATCCATTTATAATTATACTTAGAACCAAAATTAATATCAAATGTTTAAGAAAACAAATTTTCTTCAGGCCTGGCCTGTTATTCAGTACTAAATATATTTCAAATTTCTTCTATTTATTGAATATGGCAGAACTGCATTTGCTTTCATTTTCTATTTATTTCCCAGTAATAAGCACATAGGAGCATTACACCAAATATTAGAAAACAAAGCCCAACATATCATTTGTATCCAGTTCTGGTCAAGTTTTTGGGGTCATGGGTCACATCTTGTATTACTGGTACATAATGAATACTTTAAACTGTTAACTGATGCAATATATATTTAACATCACTGGAACCCTAAAGCTGTTAAAAAATGAATCAACTTCCTCTAACAATTTGATACATCAAAATTAATTGTTAAATATTGCACTTACTGCTTAAAATAATTTTCTGGCCTCTTGCAATAGTGGGAAAACAAAGGGAAAAGATTCCGAGTCATATCGAAGTGCAGCTGAGCTGCTCCTCCTTCATTGAAGTGATTGGCAAGAATTATCTGAAAAAAAGGACAATTCATATAGCAGTTGCCTCTATCATCACAGCCCAACATACAGTCTACTCTTACTTACTTCTTGGTAGATGTATATGTCCAGCTTCTCTACAAGCATTTGCCAGAAGATTTTAAATAAGGAGAAGCAGAGCTGCTGCTCCAATTGCAGTAAACGGTCTCGTAAAGTAAGCAGTAAGGGGCAAGCCGAACTGGACAGGGACATCACTGCCTGCTCTGACTGCGATGGCAAGGACAACCACCTGGAAAAAAACAGAAACAGCACTGCCTGAAGCACATTAATTTTTATTATGAAATTTTTCATCTCTCTGTATTTTTAAAGATTTAACAAATCATTTTAAATGTGGGGAAGTGCACTGTCCTGGGGCATTTTGGTTAAGAAAAAATGTACAGCCCAACATTAAAAGCTCTTTCAGAAAATAAATTGTACTTACGTTTGTTTGCTTATTTATTTAATTTTATTTTTTGGCCACGCCACACAGCTTGTGGGATCTTAGTTCCCTGACCAGGGACTGAACCCAGGCCCTGGCAGTGAAAGTACTTAGTCCTAACCACTGGACCGCCAGGGAATTCCCTGTACCTATGTTTATATTGTAGTTCTCAATGAAATACTCTTTACTTAATGAGGATGATAAGTTTTTTAAATCACCAGTTTTAATATGACTTACTGATATAAGAGTTAAAATGTAAAATGCATTTACATTTAAGACATCAGCTAATTTTACACTCTAATTTTCAGCAAAACAACAGGGACTAATAACACTTCCAAACTGATAACAAGTCCTCTGTGTGACAGGACTGCTAGGACAGACATTGCCTGCACTCAAGAAGCTCACCGTCTGGGAGGTAACAGATGTCACAGGAATCATGAGAGTGGACTAAACTATAGCACAGGCATGCACAGGTACTACAGCAGCACCTTGCTTTGTCAATGGGTGACAGGCTAGGCATTCGGCCCCATGCCAGACACCAGCTCGCTGGACTTACAGACACATCTGAAGGTTAAGTTATGATCAGTTTATTCTGATTAAGAATGTCTGAATATATTTTAGAAACAGTTAAAAGTCTGGAGTGCAAAAGGCCAAGCTCTGTGCTATCTAGACACTTTGGAAATCTGACTGCATGTCACCTTTTAACTTCTATCAAACTGGAGTTGAGAGTTGACTTATAAGAAAGTACAGAGGACTTACCTTTCTTTTTTATACAATTTTGCAGCATCTTTAACTTCTCTAAAAACATGGTCTACTTGCCGGGTCAGCATGTCATGCTTTAAACGCTCTAACAGGTTAATCATGTCATCAAAGACAGAGCTCTCCATAGAGGCCAGTTGCCCCAGCTGCAATTTACTGAGAGTGTTATTCTCTGCAAAGACTTCCAATGCTGCCTGTTGAAGTTGTAGAAAGAACTGAAAGCAAAAATATGTTAACATGTTTAAGATACCTTTTTTTTTAACAGCTTGAGATGTAACTCATGTACCGTACAATTCACCCATTTAAAGTATACAGTTTGGGGACTTCCCTGGTGGAGCAGTGGATGAGAATCCACCTGCCAACACAGGGGACACAGGTTCGAGCCCTGGTCAAGGAAGATCCCACAGTACCGCGCAACAATGAAGCCCGTGCGCCACAACTACTGAGCCTGAGCTCTAGAGCCCATGAGCCACAACTACTGAGCCCACGTGCCACAACTACTGAAGCTGGCGTGCCTAGAGCTCATGCTCTGCAACAACAGAAGCAACCTCAATGAGAAACCCCCACTCGCCACAACTAGAGAGAGCCCGTGTGCAGCAGTGAAGACCCAACACAGCCATAAAGAAATTTAAAAAAATAAAGTATACAGTTCAGTGGCTTTTAGTACATTCAGAGTTGTGCATCTGTCACCACAATTTTAGAACATTTTCATTACCCCACAAAGAAATCTCACACTCTCTGCCATCATCCCCCAACCCCCTCCTAGTGGTTCCCCACCCCACCCCCACCTTGTTCCTGGGCAACCACGAATCTCCTTTCTGTCTCTAGACCTGCCTGTTCTGGACACTTCATATAAATGGATTCATACAACCTATGGTTCTTTGTGACTAGCTTCTTTCACTTAGTATAATGTTTTCAAGGTTCAACGATGTTGTAATATATATCAGTATTTCATTTCTTTTTATAGCCAAATGATATTCCATTATATTTACCCATTCATTAGTTGACGGACATTTGGGTTGTTTATACTTTTATGAATAATACTGCTATGAACATTTGTGTACAGTTTCTGCACAAACATACGTTTTCATTTCTCTTGGATATATACCTAGGAGTAGAATTGCAGGATCCTGTAGTAAATCTGTGTTTAACCTTTTGAGGAACTGCCAGACTATTTCCACAGCAACTGTACCATTTTACATTCCCATCAGCGGTGAGTGAGGGTTCAGATTTCTCTACGTCATGCTAATAACTGTTACTGCGTCTTTTTTATTACAGCCATCCTAGTTTGTATGAAGTGGCATCCCATTGTGGTTTTGATTTGCATTCCCCTAACGGCTACCTTCTTTAAGTGCTCATGTTTTTCTAGATACAGATTGAGAGCTGTAGTAAACCTAGAAGATATATGAGTTAAGAGAATTAAAATGTCATTTTTGTACAGTATTATTTTAGGTAGAATTAGTATTATTCTTTCTGCCCTACAGGAAAACAACGCTGTGGGTAATTAGCAAAACGTTAAAAACAACCTGAATGTCTATTAAGAGGAGACTGGGCATGGCTACTAGGGATTGTTCAGGGATGACATGTGAGAGGCCATCTTGGCATTTCTGCTGAAGCTGGCAGGGAAGTGGCAGTGTCCTTTTGAGCCTGCTCATGGACCATGGAAGCCTGGAGCCACCCATGGTCATACTTACCAGAGCCGGCCTACGAGTGAAGCCAGGAATGAACAACTTTAGAGCAGCCCTGCCTAATCCTTTCAGTTACACAAATTCCTCACCTCCTCATGCCACCGCACTCCCCTACTTAGGCCAGTGTGAATCTGGGTTTCTGTCACCTATGACTGAAACATTCCTAATTCTGAATGGCTGGGGATTATGTCAGGCTTAGCACAGTCTGGCAATGGACAGACAGCTGTTAGTGGAGAATCTAAATGAATGGAAGGTGAACTCTACTTTTTTCTGTGTAATACAAGAGCTTACATGATTTTTATTTAGAGCATTCACAGGCTGAAGGACTGTGAATGTGATTAAATGATTTTTTAATTAATTAATTATTTTTGTCTGTGTTGGGTCTTCGTTGCTGTGTGCTGGCTTTCTCTACTTGCGGTGAGCAGGGGCTACTCTTCATTGCGTGCGCGGGCTTCTCATAGTCGTGGCTTCTCTTGTTGTGAAGCATGGGCTCTAGGCGCACAGGCTTCAGTATTTGTGGCACGTGGGCTCAGTAGTTGTGGCTTGCGGGTTCTAGAGCTCAGGCTCAGTATTTGTGGCATACAGGCTTAGTTGCTCCACGGCATGTGGGATCTTCCCAGACCAGGGATCGAACCCGTGTCCCCGGCATTGGCAGGCGGATTTTTAACCACTGCGCCACCAGGGAAGCCGTAAATGATTTTTGATGTTAAACAGAATTTGTACCATAGTAACATACCAAACACAAAATTCATTCATGACTTGAAGAGTCAACTCATAAATTTTCTAAGGCTAGGGATGATGGCCAATTCATCTTTGTTAACAGACTATGGCACTGAGTAAAGTAGTTAATGATGTTCCACAAATATTTCATTGAAGCTAAACATGTGGTCCTGAATGAGTCTCTTATTAAAATCACTGGCATAAGCAGCAAGAATGACAATTTGTTTCACGAAAAAGCTTAGCAGAAAATGGAGCGCTGTGGTGGGGTGAGTGAATAAAAGCACTTACTAAAATTAGGAACATGACACACAAAAGTACATAATGAATGAATGTATTCTGATTAGGTGACTTTATAAAGATAGATGCATTCATCATTACACTCCACTTATATTCATTTTATGAAATGATTATTTTCCTTGCTCAGCAGAATGATATGCATATGTATTTCAGTTAACATTTTTGTAGAAAAGGCTTTAAGTAATTACAAAGTCCCAACCAAAGAGTCCAGATTAAACTATGATTGTGTTTATTAGATATTTATCTTGTTTGTATCTGTTATTAATTTTTGTTTCCTATTTTTTTGGCTTATTACCCTGATAAAGACTTTTTCATTTTGTTTTTTCTTTCACAGTAAAGGAAAATATCTTCTATATAATGTGCTGGCAGTATATAATTTTTTATCATAAATTCATAATTTAAAATACATTCTTGTCATGTTTTCTAGACTTTCTAACTCAGGCATTGAATATTTTAAATGCCTGTGTGTGGCTATATTTCATTTCTGCTTTTATTTTTTGTTTTATTACATTAAGATTTGACAATGTATAGAAATTTTAATTTACCTTCGTTCATATTTGTGACTCAGCTGGACACACTCAAAAATTGTGTTTCCCTTAGTATACTGTTGACTTACCACCAATCTCCAGTTAATCAGTCTTTCTAATTATTTAAGTCTGTAATTATTCAGTTCCCACTTTATCACATTTTAAAAGGGATGTTTTTAAGTCTTTAGTTAAAATTATAGTTGTTTTATTTTCCTACTTTCATTTAATGACACAATTATACACATAATACTTATATTTATAATGTGTCTTCATATTCTTTATACTCAGTATAGTTTTTTCACCATTAAATGTATATTTTACTATTTTATGGTCATCTTAATCCTGTGTTAATGCTTTCTGCCATGAAATGTACTTCATGGGCCTTGCTGGATTTTTGTATCCACACATATGATCTTAGAACAGTGATTCCTAACCTGAGAACACCCTGTCCAAGAAGGAGGTCTTGGGGCTTCCCTGGTGGCGCAGTGGTTGAGAGTCCGCTTGCCGATGCAGGGGACACGGGTTCGTGCCCCAGTCCGGGAAGATCCCACATGCCACAGAGCGGCTAGGCCCGTGAGCCATGGCCGCTGAGCCTGCGCGTCTGGAGCCTGTGCTCCGCAATGGGAGAGGCCACAACAGTGAGAGGCCCGCGTACCGCAAACAAAAAAAAAAAAAAAAAAAAAAAAAAAAAAGAGGTCTTGGAGGCCCTCTGCAATCATTTTAATATCTAAAACAGCTAAAGGAATTAATCTATTTATGTTAAGGCTATAAAGACTAATTAAGTTTCTTCACTTTTAGTTGGAAGTACATATTAGAAAATCTGGTTACCAAAAGCCCTGATCACCAATATATTCCTTGGATTAATAAAAAGAGTAAAACTAAAGTACTAGTTAATTATATTTAGGCAGATCAAATCTGCCAACACATGGACTCTGCATGGAGAAAGGAAGGATAAGTAAAATCCTTGGAGGTAAAAGGCCTTTCACAGTACTTGTTACTAAATCCAGGGTTTGATTTTTAGATTTATTTAAAATATACCTTCCAGGGTAAGAAATTAGGTAATTTTTTTGGATGTGATAACGGTATTTTTTTAAAAATATTTATTTATTTATTTATTTTGGTTACATCAGGTCTTAGTTGGGGCATGCGGGATCTTTCATTGCAGCACGCGGGCTCCTCTCTAGTTGTGGCGTGCGGGTTTTTTCTCTCTAGTTGTGGTGTGCGGGCTCCAGGGCATGTGGGCTCTGTAGTTGCGGCATGCGGGCTCTCTCATTGAGGCATGCAAGCTCAATAGTTGTGGCACGCGGGCTTTGTTGCCCCGCGGCATGCGGGATCTTAGTTCCCCAACCAAGGATTGAACCCGCGTCCCCTGCACTGGAAGGCGGATTCTTTACCACTGGACAACCAGGGAAGTCCCCTGGTGGTGTGTTTTTAAAAAAGGTGTTCTTATCTTTTAGAGATACATATGAAAATATTTACCACGAAATGTATCTGAGATCTACTTCAAAATAATCACACATGGGGGTAGAGCAAAGGGTTAAATGAAACACAGTTGGTATAAGAAGCTGGGTGAGGACTTCCCTGGTAGTCCAGTCCACACTTCCAATGCAGGATGGGTGCAGGTTCAATCCCTGGTTGGGGAACTAAGATCCCATATGCCATGTGGCACAGCCAAATTGAAAAAAAAAAAAAAAGCTGGGTGACAGGCACATGGGAGTTCGTTTTACCATTCTATTCACTCTTGAATATGTTTGAAAATAAACAAAGTATTAAATAATTTTTTAATGTATGAAATAGGTTAAAAATGTTTCTGTTTTTATGATTTCATATTTTATGTTTCGAAGGCACTAAAAAGGTATCAAATGTTATTCTTTTATTTTCCTTAAAGTCTTGAACTTTATTGATTTTGACAGCATTACACAATCTTAGCTTTTCGCGAGATGGCAATTACTATTCATGACATTTACCAAGTTCAGAGTCTAAAAAAGGAAAATGGTTCACTTTATAAACAACAATTTCACGAAAAGATGGCTTCTCCAGTGATTAAAATATCAGGATTATTTAACCGTTTGAGACTTGAATGAGAAAAATATGTACTTTAATCACACCTCCTAAGTTTGGCCCAACTGTGATTCTGCCTAACTTGCTTGCTACAGATTCAACAGATTTCAAAAGGCAAAACTGTTGAAGTTACTAATATATTACTTAATATAAAAGATTAACTTACAACATTGTCAGCCCAATCTGCTAGTACTGTTGAGATATAGTTCACGGCATTAAGAATTGCACAATATCGAAAGCCAAGGGAAGCTCTAGTCTCTTCTTTCATCACCTGAGTTAATCGTATCCTAAAATCATCTACTAAGTCCTTCTGTAACTCCAGGAACTGCAGCTTTCTGGAAGCTGTGGGAAGATTTTTATATCTGTCTGTGGAGAAAGTTAACAAGACATATGAAGGTTTATGGTACCATCCATGACATAGTTATAGGTTTTTCCTACTGACTGGCTTTGGTGCCTTTGTCAAAAATCGATTGACCATTCAAGTATGGATGCATTTCTAAACTCTCTAAGTACGTGGGTTTCCCAAGTATTGGTATTTGTCAAAACTCATTGATCTGTACACTAAAGATCTATGCATTTCACTGTATATGAGTTATGCTTCTAACACATTGTAAATTAACTATACTGCAATTTAAAAAGTTATATCTCAATATTTTAAAAAGGCATATGAGAAAGTTATATACCAAAACTATTCTATTTCTTCAACAAATAAATGACATTTTTTAAAAAAGGAAGGAGGAACTAGGGTAGGTTAAAAGAGATACATAGTTAAGGATTTATAGGTGAAATGCTAAGATGTCTGAAATGTTCTCTAAAATACTTCAGGGGAAAAAATCTGGATTTTGGGGGGAGAAAAACACATAATAGAAAAGTGATAGTTTTAAACCTTAGTAACAGATACCTGAGGGTTCGATATGCTACTTTTATATATATTAGAAAATTTCCATAATAAAATTTTTTTTAATCAGTTTTGCTAAATTTTTTTGTATTTTAGTGTTTTTCATATCTTTCTTACAGTTAGAATATAGAATTTACTGACTGGCCTGGAATGACACCTCTTCAGGTTACTAGACAGGCCCAAGCAATGGACAAGACACTGGAGGATAATGGCAGTGAGGGCTCAGTGGCACCTGGAGAACCAGCAGGCCTGCAGTGCCCTGGGGCAACGTGGATGGCTGCAGACAAACCAGGGCTAGAGGTGGCTGGGCCACCCTCCAGCCAGAACATTCTTGCACCATAAGAAGAGGTCCTATTACTATTCCAATCCCTAAAGTGACTTTATTATTTTACTGTTCTACAATCTTTGATATATCGAGGTGAAGAAAATAATATATAAAATTTAGGTCAATCACCATTTACTGAAGACACTCAAAAAGTTGAAAGGCAAGAGATTTCAGGTAATAAAATTAAATTCTTATTTGTTTTTATGTAACGATTCAGGAATTTTCCCCTCATGGAAACTAATGTTTAAGATCTTATTTAGATTACTAAAAATCTAAAAGCTGGAATGCTGTGCTAGAGTTCTGCCAAAATAGAAACTGAATTTGAAGGTATTACAATAACCACTATATATTTTGTCAAACTACTTGAAAAGTACCATGTGAAGAATCAGTACTTTCATTGACTTTTTAAAATTTTATGTATTGAAGTATAGTTGATTTACAACGTTGTATTTAATTTCTGTTATACAGCAAAGTGACTCAGTTATACATACATACATTCTTTTTCATATTCTTTTCCATTATGGTTTATCACATAATGGAATCCATCCCCCCACCCCCCACACCCCTTGGCAACCACAAGTCTGTTAAGAGTCAGTACTTTAAAAAAAAACAAAGTTGTATCTTAAAAGACTATACTTACCAGTTATAACCAAGAGTAGTGTCATAAACGTCTCTGCACAGTCTGGAACTTTCATCTCATCCACATCAGTGATATCCTTATATTGGGATATCCAGGCAGCTTCTGACGAGAGCATTGAGTCCATTTTTTGAAGAGCAACTGATAAGCAGGAAAAAGGATTATGTCAAACAACTAGTTACAGATTGTTACATTACAAATTCCTGATCTTTCAACTCATAATCTCTTAGGAATGGTAACTTTTCATGAAAAAATAAATCTATAACCTCCTACTAGTTGTACTATATTTAACGTGCTCTATTCTAGGGTTAAATAAGATATTTTACTTCTCCCTGCCGTACCTACCCCGAATCTTCAAAATAGTTACACTCACTAGACAAGCCACATCCAATATGATTCCAGCAAGAACAGAAATACTATACGTAAAATCTATAAAACAGTTAACTATATACTGTACTGGCTTGAATATTCTACCCTAGAAACCTGTAGAGTGCAATTCTGGGAAAAACTGAAGCTTGATGGGAAGAAAAGAAAATAAGATGATCTCTGAAGGCAACTTGGTAAACCCTAACCAAGAAAAATATAGATGGCTCTAGTTTCTACCCAGAACTGGAGAAAACTTATATACGCAAAAAGAGGCATCTCTCCCCACCCCACAGCCACGTGAGCACTTACATTTTCTCTCCACAGTCAACCATCTCTGAAAACAGGTCTCTTCTGACAGAATATGCATACAATTAGCAAAAGTGCTGGGATAGCCATGAACGCTGTGTAGTTCTCTTTCAAACAAAAGCACCTCATCCACCAAATGACAGAAGAGACTGTCATCATAGAGCAGACAAGGAATATCAGCAGCTAACTTTTCAAGAACCAGCATCATAAGGCCCCGAGAAAATTCAAGCTACAAAAATATACATAAGCATAAGGTAATGAAAATGACAAGTTATTCATGGACACCTACAACTCTAAAACGGAAATGCTTTGGACAAAGTCTCTTACCCTTGCATTCACCGAAGAGCCTACTTTGTCTAATATTGGCTGAATCTTCTCATCCAGAAACTGAGTGTGGTTCCCAATCCACATAAGTACCTGAGCCAAGTACCATTCGGGCTGAGGAAGGAGGTAAACAGTTTGAATTCTTAAGTCATTCCAACTGGAAAGTACAGTTAAATGTCTCTATTTAATTGTAGACACACAGTACTTACAAAAATTAGTTGAAAATTCCTATATGTAAGAGCACAATTTCTACTCTGAACTTTAAATTCATGCAAGGCTTAATAATCAAATGTTTCCCAATGTACTCCCAATAAATTTCAATAATGTGGCTTATGTCAGTAAACTCATAAATTTACAATGCCATAAATATTTAAAACCTAGTACTTTAGAAATATGTAAAGTATAAATATTATATATTTTTTTGAAATAACATTCCAAAATAATTTTTAAACATGACCATCTTCTGTTTTGTTCTTTTTTCCAAAACCTAAATTAGGAAAAAAAATTTGGCTGGTCTGCATTACAAGAAATACAAATGCTTTAAAACAGGTATAATTATAGAAGAGTAATATAAGTATGCAGCTTTTTAAACTGTCCCTAGAGATGATTCTATAAACCTTCCAAGTTTTGCTGGACAGGAATTCTAGAACATTTACTGAAAGGTAAAACCCTGCTGTGTGCTAGATGCTGGGAATACAGAAATGAAAAAGGGGCAGTAGCTACTCTCGGGGGCTGCATAGTTCAGGCTTGATGTCATAGTACTAGGACCACTGGAACCACACTTCAGGAAGCAACAATATAACTCACAATTTTCTTACTTCAAACGATCACTGCCTCTCTACAGTTTAGGTTTATTGTTTTGTCTCACTTACACTTACTAATAGGTTCTACTTTTCTTTCCACCAACACCCCATCCAAAAAAGGAGGAGACCCATGAAGTACAAAAGAACAAGCTGAATTTAAGAACCAGAAATCCATTGTCACTCTACTCCCTTCCTATACAGATGTAACTGCCTATCCCTTGATTCCTTTAATATTCTATAAAGCCTATAAACTCATTTATAGATGACACATACAATGCCTGGTGTAATCTGGCATTTAATAACATTTACTTCAAAACACCGAGAAATTAAGAATATATATTTTAAAAATAAAACATGACCCTATTACAAAAAAAAAAACACCGAATCCCTCTGCTACTTGCACTGCATTAGATGTAGCAAGACTCAAGAATAGTATCCACCCCCTAGCAACTCCCAAGGTTATAATTCTCAACAAATTCAATCAAATTTCATTGAAAACAGTTGTCAGTGATTGTTTTTCTGATCAAATTAAAGAAAAAAATCTCAACAGTATGCCCAGTACACATGGGTATAGTCCCTCAACTAAAATGTTGGTGATAATTTCCTCAAAGCCATTCCTGTCACTTATCCCCATACTTTGTCTTACACAGCTACAAATCATTTTAGCATCAGCACTTCTACTCAAAAACTAATGCTCTACTATCTTTTGATTCTCACTTTTCTTTCTGATATATTTATAAACCTGAAGGAGCAATCTGCACAGTGGAACACATGTAGAGCCAGTTGTAAAAAGTGCCACAGCAAATGCTACAGCACACCCCAGGGGAAACTTCAGAAACTGGTCAGATGATGTGCTAGTGAGTGAGCTGATTCCTACAACAAATCAACACAAGTCCCAAAATATATCTATAAAGGGTAGTGGCAAAACAGGAATTTAGCTCTTCAGAGAAAAACAGAAATGTGAATAGAATCAGATTTTAACTCAAAGCAGCAGAAGTACAGAAAGCCTTAACAAACCAAGGGCAAGAATTGGCAAAGCACACCTTGCTTATAACATTAGTTTGTCGGTTCCCTCTGAAGTGATACCTGAACCTCTTTTGAAGGGGAGTCAGCATAATCTGGATGGGCAGGATGACAGCAGGGGATGCAGGAAGAGAGTATTTTTCTGGAAGTTGTTTTGTCTCAGTAAGTAATTCATCTCTGACATAGTCAAGTCAAGGAAAAAGAAAAGCATATGTATATGTGTGTATATACACACACACACGTATATGTATGTATACACACACACGTATGTGTATGTATATACACACACACGTATATGTATACACACATTTTTCCAAGAGACATATATGATACTAAGTAAAATTAATTATAATACAGATAATATGTAGTCTAACTTTACATTACATGACTTCAGTAAAAAGTACATGAAAAATGTTATTAGAATTAATCTGTCTTTCCTAAAATAAAGAATAATAAGTAGTAAGGAAACATATTCAAGTAATCGTGCTATTAAATTAGTACTAAGTTACTAAGGTTTCTTCCCAATTGCCCATTTTTTTGATTGTCCCATGAGACCTATATGTGATGCAAACTTTTACAGTCATGCATTTCAGAACTCCTCACAGCCCTCCCACCCACATGCAATTTATGTGGAAGGAGAACAGTCCATGGGAATACAGAGATCAAGTCCAAACCCACTACTCCCTGGCCGCTTTCAGAAAGCTTTACTCTCTGGTCACTTTACTCTCTGGCCACAAATCCACTCTAGAAAAAAGAAATTTTAGTGAGTTTTAACTCCAACAAAGATACGAGGTTTGTAGTTTCAGGAGCTGAGAAAATAGTGTCTCCAAGTTGCTGTATATCTCAGGGGCACTGGCTGGTCGACTTATGCCAACAGTTTGAGACTGAGGGGGTGCGATGAATGGCCAATGAAGCTGTGCTAAAATTTCCTCAAAGTCACTGTAACAGAAAAGTGACACAAATATTACAGTAAAATACCGTGAGCACCAAATATCCATCTGAAAGCAATTACCATGAAATATGGATAAATTTCTTGCCTTGTAAGCTTGTCCTTGAGAATTTTATGCCAGAATTTAACAGTGGCTCTCATGAAACCAAGAAGATGAGTACAGGATGATTCCTGAAGCTTGATGTCAAGTTCTGCCATAGAGACCAGAGTAGAAGCTGCCTCTGGGACATTATTGGTCATCAGATACTGCTGAATGTTATCACTGCAAAACAAGGCAAAACAAACTGTAAAGACAGTTTGTCCACAATAATTCCAAATGTGGAAAAACTGCTGTTTCCTCCTGCTTTATATAAAGCTACATCCAAGAAAGAAGGAAGCGCCACCTTGTAGTGGCTTTTTTACCTGATACGCAAGTCTCTGGGAGCCTGGAGTCCTCAAATTCAGCATCCTTCTAAGAACAGTGGCCTGTGTTCAGGATACCTCCCTCCACCTTTCCCTTCCCACCCCTCCCAAGGTAAAAGAATTTTCCTTTGTCACATTCCCTCAGGCACCACTCATTTCTAATAAATCTGTCTTTGACAGAAGTCTGTCATATCTTAATCCAAAGGGGAGAATGTGGGTGGCATCTGGTAAGGTCAAATATGGTAGACTTCAATTTTTACCTACTTTGCCCAGCTAAACTGGATTATAGGAAACTTAGGGAGGTGGCACCTCAGAGTCTAGTCCTTTCAAGTTACTGTTAGCCAAGTTGCAGACAAAATTTAAGGTAAGCTCTACAGCAAGGGTAGCAAACTCAAATGCCTCGCAAGGCCTGATGGGCACAGTAAATGAAAAAAGCAAAGTGGGCGGGGACTAGGACAAGCTAAAAAGCACATACCCCATCCTAAGGCTCCAGCCAAGTGCTGCCACACTGGAGTGTAGGTCCAATGTAGCCAAATCTTAAAATTTTTCAAGAGAATCCAGAAATCAAGATTTCCATGTAAAATCAAACCAATTAATCAAAATCTTTAAAAGAAGCCAGATACAACCTATCTTCAGGATTCATTCAGCCCATGACTACCATTTTGCATATTGGCTAAATAAAACAAAACATTTAAAACTGAAATGTTTCTTTTGATGAAAATAACATGCCATATCTTAAGCCAGAATAGGAACAAAATTTAACCTTTTCAATAATTAATCTCAGTTCAGGGGTCGGAAGTGCTCTCCCTCTAGGCAGCCTGTGTACATCCTACCCAGGCCTGGCCACTTTGCTAGGTGAGAGTAAGCTGGGACTCTCATCCCCCGCTGAGTGCCACGCTTCGGTTACGCTGCTGGGTGGGCACAGCACCCTCAAGCGCAGGAATGTGTACTGCCACCCTGCCCATCTCCACTATGCACTAGTACTTTCCCTTCTCCCTCCAACACGAGCGGCCTTTGTTTTCCACCATCACTGCTTCAGGCCTCAACAATCATACTAATCTCATGTGTGTATTATTCTATTTCTGACAGCCCTTTTGGCCTTCCCCTACGCTCATTCTCTCATTTTTCGTTCTTCTCCTTTCCTAGTCATTCTTACTAAGTTTTTTAACAGATTTTGTCTTGTTTTTTAAATTTTTCATTTATTTATTTACTTATTGGCTGTGTTGGGTCTTCATTGCTGCGTGCAGGCTTCTCCCCAGTTGTGGTGAGCGGGGGCTACTCTTCGTTGCAGTGCGAGGGCTTCTCATTGTGGTGGCTTCTCTCGTTGCGGAGCACGGGCTCTAGGTGCACGGGCTTCAGTAGTTGTGGCACGCGGCCTCAGGAGTTGTGGCTCGTGGGCTCTAGAGCGCAGGCTCAGTAGTTGTGGCGCAGGGACTTAGTTGCTCTGCAGCATGTGGGATCTTCCCAGACTAGGGCACGAACCCTGTCCCCTGCATTGGCAGGTGGCTTCTTAACCACTGCGCCACCAGGGAAGTCCCCAGATTTTGTCTTTTATAGCTATTTTCAGAATTTAAATCATGAAACCAAAAAATCTACCAATGTAGGCAGAAATGTTAATATAGCTTGTTTGAAAGGCAATACCAGACACTCACAATCAACTACCAGTGATATGTATTTAATTCAAAAAGAGTTACAATAGACCCTTGAGGAACATGGGTTTGAAGTGCACGAGTCCACTTATACACTGATTTTTTTCAGTAGTAAATACTACAGTAGTACACAATCCCTGGTTGGTTGAATCCGTGAATGTGGAGCTAAGGATAGGGAGGAATCGTGGATACAGAGGGCTGACTATGAGTTGGATGCAGATTTGACAGCTGAGGAGAGCTGATGCTCCTAACCCCTGCGTTGTTCAGGGGTCCACTGTATTTCTTTATTTTTCCCTATTCAAAAGCAGCAGGACTCTGTTTTTCATCTAATAATAAATACTGTGTAGCTCTTCTTAGGTGATACCCACTGAAAAAAATTCAAATTATAGAGAAAGCAATCCATTTCATTAAGTGACCGTCTCTAAAAGGTAAAAGAGGAATATTACCACACTGATGAGTTGGCATTATAATCATTTTTATCATGTGTTCACAATATAACTATAGGACTTAAAACTTTTTACTTGGATTACTTTCTTTCAAACGCAAATTAAGCTCCCTTAAAAGTTTATGTTCATTCATAATAAAGGAAAAGAATCATTATCATAATGCTATTTTCGTAACTGGTAAAATCACATTATTATAACCTTTAATTAACTCAATTATTTAATGGCATGCACGTACTCTCTAAGACATAGCCTCAAAGGAAAATAATAATTATGAGAACAAGGAGGCCTATTTTACCTCAGTTCTTCAATTTGTGAAATCCATTTAAGATAAGCAAGATGCCGTTCAATCTCTTCAATTTGGTTAATCATGGCTCCGAGATCTTCTATCCAGGGCTGTGCAGTCAGCAGATGGCTGTTAATGGAACTGAAGAGATGGCTTTCTTGCTCCAGAAAGTGATTAAGGAATTGCTTTGATTCTTCTGCATTTTTTAAGGCACTCTGAATTCTTTTAGGGATTTCTGATGAAACTGTAAGTACCTGCCCATACCAAAAACAAACAAAAAATAAAAAACAGCAGCAATCAGATAAGATTCTCATTTTTTTCTCTTCTTTATTAGTTACCTTCAAAATGCATGTTTGTTCTAATAGAAATGAAAATTGTTATTTAAAAGCTTCAAAAGAAACGTTGGGTTTCTGCATCCTGTACTAACCAAACCTCAACATGAAATGCTCTATGTGGAGGTGTGTAGGGAGGGCCCCCAGTAAACATCTTTGGATCTACCATCATGAAGCTCAGCACTTTCAGAGGGTCCAGCCAAAGAACATTTACCTGCTTTATCTACTAATAATTTTCTTTCAGAAACAAATGAGGCTTTGATACTAAAAGTCTGGGTAACTATTTGCAAAAGTTCCCCAGGTGATTCTGATTTAAGCCCAGATTGAGAAGGAACTATTGACTTGGTAAGATGATACCCAGGTAATGCCTTTAGATATGATATTTATTAAATAAATTTTTCTTACAGCAGATGGAAAAACATATACAAATATCAGGCATCAGTACAATATGATAAGAATATTATAAAGGAATTTCAATTTAATCAACACTGATTAGACACTCTATACCAGGCACTGTGCTAGGGTCTGACAGATAAATTAGACACAGCATCTGCCCTTAAGCTCAGCTGGTATGGAAGAGAGATGTAGGCAAACCTTCAACAGTGGGATTAGTGCAATAAAAGAGATGCCAGGTGTAATGGTGTACGAAGGCAGTGCTTCCCAGACTTGAACATGCATAGGAATCACCTAGAGATCTGGTTATAGTGCAGATTCAGACTTAATAGGCCTGAAGTAGGGACTGAGATTCTGCATTTCTTACAAGTTCCCACACTTTGAGTAGAAGGTTTTGGGGTGCAAGGCAATTGTGCTTGCATGGCTCATGCACAGACCTTTGCAGGTTGGGTGGAAATTTTTAGGGAAGTTTGCGCCACCAGGGAAGTCCCCCACTGGATTTTTTAAAACATTATTTCAGGTAATATGTTTATTATAAAAAGAAAAAAACTTGAAAATACAAAAAGATATAAAGAAATCACTTGTGGGACTTCCCTGGGGGCACAGCGGTTAAGAATCCGCCTGCCAATGCAGGGGACACGGGTTTGAGCCCTGGTCCAGGAAGATCCCACATGCCGCGGAGCAACTAAGCCCATGTGCCACAACTACTGAGCCTGAGCTCTAGAGCCCGCGAGCCACAACTACTGAGCCCCTGTGCCACAACTACTGAAACCCGGCACCTAGAGCCCATGCTCCACAACAAGAGAAGCCACCGCAATGAGAAGCCTGAGCACCGCAACGAAGAGTAGCCCCGGCTCACTGCAACTAGAGAAAGCCTGCTCACAGCAATGAAGACCCAACACAGGCTAAATAAATAAATAAATAAATAAATTTATTAAAGAAGAAAAAAAGAAAATAAATCACTTATTAACCAACCACCCAGAAATAACCATTATTATAATGTTATACTTATTTTAATGTTTTCTCCCTATGTGTGCATATATAAAAAAATTGGAATGATAGTGTTGTAACATTTTGGTATCCCATGAATTTACTTTTAAAAGCACATTAAAAGTCATTGTATGAAAATGTCAGACATAAATGTCAGACATAAATCATTATCAGTAGGAACTTTCTCTTTTACATAATTTGTAAAACACCTAGCACATTGTAGGTCCTTAAAACCTATTAAGCAGTTTTAAATGATTAGACTGTTTGTCACAATCTATATTTTCAAAAATGCCTATATATTAATGGTTATATTTACATTATATTATAATGAGTATAGTACTGATATTGTTTCAATGAGTTTTAATACTTGCCTGTTCTTCTAACTGCATTTTACTTTCTGTCATCTGTTCTATGAGTTTATCAAGTTTCTTTAAAGATTTAAGGTCATTTCCGACTTCCTTTTCTATAAATACCGCCACATAGGAAGGGAGATCACCGTTATCTGTACTTTCACAGACTGGTTGGTTTCCAACGACAGCTGCAATATTTATGTCACCTAAAATGAAAGAATAACAATTACTCAACACCACCAAGTACTATGGAGTTAAAGGAAATGCAAAAGATATACAAGGCAACATATCTACTTTCAAAAGTTAAAGAAAACACTACCTATATATGGCATTTTTGTATATATAGTACTTGTGTGTATATGTATATATACACACATACACAAAAATACCCTAATGAATATAGTGTGTGTAAATGAATATATGTATATATACATACACACTATATTTTATATATTTATATAAAGCAGTCAGCCCTCCACATCCATGAATTCAACCGACTGCAGATAAAAAAAAAGTTTTTTAAATCCAAAAAGTTCCGAAAAGCAAAATGAATTTGCCATGCTCCAGTAACTATTTACATAGCATTTGCATTGTATGCAAAACTATTATTATTAGCATTAGGCATTAAGTAACCTAGAGATGATTTAAAGCACACAGAGGATATGTGTAGGTTACGGGCAAATACTATGCCATTTTATATAAAGGACTTGAGCATCCAGGGATCTTGATATTCGCAGAGGTCCTGGAACCAATGCCCCATGGATACCAATGGATGAGTGTATATATTTATATATATATATGGGTATATATATGCATATAAATACACATACGCACGCACACACACACAAATACCCAAATGAATAGCTATAAAGCAATCTATCGATCAAGTACTACTATAAAATGCTTAAGAGCTTAGGAAATTCTGAGTGAAAGAAAAATTACTAAACTCTGTCCTAGTACCCACAGGTTGCAATAGATGTTGGCATGACAGTGCAGTTACAAACAGAACTAAACTTTTCTAGACAACTGTGTATCTTAAGAATCTTTTATTACTGAGGGGAAAAAGGTCAAATCTGATTCTGCTGATGCAGCTTTTATTAAATTATTAATATATTTTCAAAATTTGCGAGGAATCAGATGGTATAGTCTAGAATAACACCAAAGGAGGACTCTGGTTTTAAAATGTTTAAAAAAAAAAGAAACAAAAAAGGTATTGAAAGATCTCAAGTATATGAAAAAAATCTGAAAGGGAGAGCAATGAGTAAAAACTCCTCCTGATACAAGAGTAAAAGAGTTTTAAAAGCTTCAGAAGCGATTGTACAAAGATGTCCATTTCAGGGACTTCCCTGGTGGCACAGTGGTTAAGAGTTCGCCTGACAATGCAGGGGACACGGGTTCGAGCCCTGGTCCAGGAAGATCCCACATGCTGTAGAGCAACTAAGCCCATGAGCCACAACTTCTGAGCCCACACACCTAGAGCCCGTGCTCCACAACAAGAGAAGCCACCGCAATGAGAAGCCCGCCCACCGCAACGAAGAGTAACCCCCGCCCGCCACAACAAGAGAAAGGCCGTGCACAGCAACAAAGACCCAACACAGCCAAAAAAAATTTTTTAATAATAAAAATAAATTAATTATAAAAAAAAGATGTCCATTTCAGAAACGGAAAAAAAAAAAGAAATTTGAGAGAAAACACATTACCAGGAAAACTCAAAATGACTAATGCAACCACTAAATTGTACAATCTAAAGTGAGATTCTTCCCATGGCAAATAAACTAGAATTGGCCAGTTCATATTGGACTTATTAAATATGACAAAAACAGGTGATTTGGAACCCTCTTAAGAAAAGTGGTAGCAGAGGCAACATGTACTATAGCAGAACACACAATACCCAGTGAAAACAGGAACGCTATGTAGCTTTGCTCTCATCCCACCAAGTATGTGAAATTTCCCAGAGTCTACTCCTTATTCTATGCTTGAAAGTCGATCATTTCCTGTAGTTCACAAGTCAGTTTTTCACTCTGCAGGAGTCTATACCTTCTTCCACTATCCAGAATATTTAAGACATAATTAAGCAATTTAAGTTACCTTGAATTCTTTGTGGAATGAGGGAAGATTCAAATATATAAATTTAAAAATTCTGATTTTTATTTAAACAAAACACTTAAAACAAATTTCTAGTAAACAATCCACTTCAAAGGCAATTAAATTATTTTCCATGGTCCTACATTTGTGGACCAACAGCACTGCTCCTCTCTTCCAGAGTATCTCTACCTATACTTTTGCTGATGATCTGTGCCAGCATGGCTTTCTGAATGTGCCCTGAACCCAAGAAACCTGAAGGCTCAAAGCAGTTTCTTGACAAAGACCCACAGCCGGCTGCCATGTCCTTCTCCTACTCCCACCCCCATGTGCTAAGATGAACTGCTTCGTTTTGAAGTGTGTTTCCATGTGTAAGCTACTCCTTTTGGTTACTTATGGTTTCCTTCTTCCTGAAAAGTTTAGGAAACCTGAAGTTTGGGTCAAACTTTATAATGGTAACTCCATGTCACTGTGCAGCCATTAAGTTCCCTGATATTAAACACGCTCAAGGGACTTCCCTGGTGGTGCGGTGGTTAAGACTCTGTGCTGGCAATGCAGGGGCCCCGGGTTTGATCCCTAGCCAGGGAACTAGATCCCACATGCACACCACAACTGAGAGTTCACATGCCACAACTAAGGAGTCCACATTGCCATAGCTAAGGAGCCAGTGAGCCGCAGCTAAGGTGCCCGCCTGCCGCAACTAAGACCTGGCGCAACCAAAATTTTTAAAAAAATTTTTTTAAATAAAAAAATAAACCACGCTCAACTCTAGTAAGTCCACAACTTGAATGATTCCACATACAGGGTTTAATCTCCCTAGAGATGAGTTGTACCTAGAAATTTAAAAAACAAACAAAAAACAAGATACTGTAAAAATTCAGAGTAATAGCCATTGAACTCCAAATGAAAATAAATACTATAAAATAAGGGCCCTGAGAAAAAGAGAGTAGAGTTCATAGAAACCAAACATTAGAATAAACCTGAACATACAGTGCATTTCTCTACTTCAGGTTTGCCTGTAGGATTTGGTTGTCTCTAAACAAACCATTAATGGTTTGTTAAAAGTTTGACTGTACTAGTATATATTTCGTTACAAGGACTACAACAATTTCTAAAAAACAAAACAAACAAAAAACAAACAAGATGTGTACATGAGAGATAAAGCTGGGGCAACAATACAGAACCTCCTGAGAGCTCTGCTAGTTGGACTTCACCTCTGTTCTTCCTTGGAGCTGCCCTTGTAGAAGTGGCTCTTTACCAAAAATAAAGCGTTTTTCTTTTTTTTTTTTTAATTGAAGTATAGTTGCTATACAATATTATATGTTACAGGTGTACAGTATAGTGATTCACAATTTTTAAAGGTTATGCTCCATTTGTAATTATAAAACATTGGCTATATTCCCCACATCGTACAATATATCCTCATAGCTTTTTAAAAAAATTTTTATTGGAGCATAGTTGATTTACAATGTTGTATTAGTTTCAGGTGTACAGCAAAGTGAATCAGTTATACATAAACATATATCCACTTTTTTAGATTCTTTCCCATATAGGTCATTACAGAGTACTGAGAGAGTTCCCTGTGCTATACAGTAGGTCCTTATTAATTATCTATTTTATATATAGTACGGTGTATATGTCAATCCCAATCTCCCAACGTATCCCTTCCTCCCCCTCCCCCCCCCGCCCCGGTAACCGTAAGTTAGTTTTCTACATCTGTGAGTCTATTTCTGTTTTGTAAATAAGTTCGTTTGTACCATTTCTTTATGTTCCATACATAAGCAATATCACATGATATTTGTCTTTCTGACTTACTTCACTCAGTGCTTATTTTATACATAATAGTTTGTAATTCTAAATCCCCTACCCCTATATTGCCCCTCCCGCTTCCCTCTCCCCACTGGTAACCACTAGTTTGTTCTCTATATCTGTGAGTCTGCTTCTGAAAAATAAAGTTTTAAGGAAACAGCAATGAAAGGCAAGAGGTTATAATCAGCCTCATTAAAAAACAACAGTCACTTCTGACAAAATGAAGATAAGAATATCTAGATAAAGATATGCCTAAATGCAAAATGTAACTACAAGAGATTAACATAATATATACCAGTATTTAGTACTGTGTATGTTCCCCTCCCCCAGGCCTTAAAAAAACCAAATTTTCCTTTGTTCTCTTCAATTTATAAGAATTAAAAGCTTCTTCACATGCAATGAGAAAGAGTAGCTCACTGGTAGGTAGAAGTGAAACTAGTAAGAGTCTATGCCTCAACTTCCCTACTATAAATTCTAACATTTGCCCAGCCTACACTCAAAGGTTATAAATGGGACTAAAATCCATGTTTCCTGAATTTCAAAACAATATTCTTATTTTCTTCTCCTTCAGATACGATCAGAATTGGCTGGTCTGCATCAAACTTTATTACTACAGGACTCCATCTACTATTAAGTACAGGAGTCACAATGTTGACTTTTTTTTTTTTTTTTTTTTTGCGGTACGCAGGCCTCTCACTGTTGTGGACTTCACTGGCGGTCCAGTGGTTAAGACACCATGCTTCCACTGCAGGCACTGGTTTGATCCCTGGTCGGGGAACTTAGATCCCGCATGTCTCGGGGTGTGGCCAAAAGAAAAACAAACAAACAAAAAAACCCCGCGAACTACAGGTCAAATGGCCCAGGCTCTTCCACCGATAAATTTTTTTATTTTTATTTTTTTTTTTTTTTGCGGTACGCGGGCCTTTCACTGTTGTGGCCTCTCCTGTTGCGGAGCACAGGCTCCGGACGCCCAGGCTCAGCGGCCATGGCTCACGGGCCTAGCCACTCCGCGGCATGTGGGATCTTCCCGGACTGGGCCACGAACCCGTGTCCCCTGCATCGGCAGTTGGACTCTCAACCACTGTGCCACCGGGGAAGCCCACAATGTCGACTTTTTAAATTTATCTTATATAAAACATGTGAGTTGTGTGGTATATCTGCATACACAGAGGCAGGGCTATGTGCAGAGGGAATGTTTTGTGAAGATAAGCTTGCTGTAGCTTAGGGAGTAAATTCTATCTTCACCTTTTACAAAAAATTATACTCTTTTGATTTAACCATTTAAATGCAGCATAGTACATTCTTAGTCAAATGACATTCTTCAAAATGACACAATGGTGATTTGGGGGGGGTGGTTAATGTCTCTCCTTTCCTCTATTTTTTGTAAAGAGCACTTCCAATTGCAAAGAAATTGACCAAGCCAACAAAGGAGGGTCTACGGCTCCGTGGCATCAACTTCCCAGGCATCTGAATGGGGCAAAGGTGGAAATGGGAAGGGTTAAACTGAATGATGTGAGGTACTCTCAAATCCTTTAAGGAAAAGGAGCTAACTTGTGGCAGCTGTGACTGTCAAGTGCTATGAAGTACTCAGAGCTTTCTTTCTGAGGCAGATTGCAGCAACAGGCAATGTTAAGGGCAAGTCTAACTCCTAAAGCCAATATGGTAACACAAGCACCCTTTCTGTTACTACTACTCATTCCCAGACTATTTGCCGTGATGAGAAGAACCAAAAACCCTCTGATGGAACAGCTGTGCCATGCTTCCCGCTTCCTCTCCCAGTAAATTTCACTTCAAAAGGCCCTCAAGATTCCTTGATTTCCAAAATCTTGCCACATTTAGCTTATAGAAGTAAAATACCAAATGTCCACCCCCTGGTGTATGCTCCTGTCCTAGGAAGGAAATGGAGATAGTGACCTTTTCCCTATCCAGTTCAAGATCCAGGAACCAAGTTATCTGTTGTGCTCTTCCCAGATCAACGATTACCTGCAAATTCACTGAAGGTAAATACAACTGAACAATGATCATTTGACTCCTTTGAATGCAACTAAGGTGGTGGTCATCTCTCCTAGATCATTAGCCCCTCGAAATTCCTGATGCTTAATAAGTTGATGCTTCACTGAAGTAACAGGCAGGCCCCAATTACTCTGAATCCAGTATGAAGGGCAGCACTGGAGTGAAACCACAGAAGTCCCTGCACTAGGTAGGGCACAGGAAGTGCTCTTCTCCAAATTATCCCATATTTTACCATCCGGAAAGGCAAAAATATGTGTATGATGATAATCAGTATTTAATACAGAAAGAGAAAAAGAGATGCTTCATCTAAAAGATAACAGGCTAAGACCCTTCTCGATGCAGACCATTGAGGGCAGAGTTTTGGAGAGATGGCTGGGTAGAAAGTGCTAAGGTGTTTGGAGTCCGCTTACTTTTCTCCTTGATGTTCTTCCTTTGGTCACCGTTTTCAGAGCAGCACTAGAAGGAGATCAGGTGTGACAAACACATTAAGACTGAAGTGATAGGTGGAACTCGCACAGGGTTCCCAGAGGGCATCCACTGGAAGACAACAAGGTCCCAGCCCCCTCCCTCTGGGGCCTTCCTGAGAGGTCAGGATCTGGAGGTTCTAAAACGGGCCACCTCCCTGGGGCCACCACTGCCACCTCTCCAGGCCCGGCCTCCAGGGCCACCTCCCCAGAATGACCTGTGTCATCTCACCGGGATCACCAGAGCCACCGCACTGGGACCACCTCCCCCGGGAAGTCTTTGCCACCTCACCAGAGTTGCAAGAGTCATCTCCCCCGGGCCACCGCAACCGCGTCCCCAGGCCGCCAAGGCCACTTCATCGAGGCACCCTCCCCTGGGAGATCTGTGCCACCTCACTGGGCCACCAGTGTCCCCGCCCCGGGCCATAAGGGCCGCCTCACCCGGGTTGCCGGCGCCTTGCCGAAATCGCCGGCCAGGAGCATCCTGCCTCCGCGCGAGTCCTCGGCTCCTTGCGCAGCCAGCGTGGCCAATGGACTCCGGCTCCGGCCAGTGATCAGACACCAGTAGGGCTTCGAGACCGTAGCTCCCAGAGCCACAGCAACTTCCTCTGCCGTCTCTCTGGTTTCTTCCTCTCCTCCCAGAGAGGCCCTGCCCACGCAGCCGCCGGCTGTTCCCGGTGGCTCCGCCTGGCGGCGGGGGGCCGGATCGGCTGCTCTGGAAGGAGAAGGGGGCGGGGGAGGGGGCGGGGGGAGGAGGTCCTTCTCAACCTCGGTAAACCTCCTCCACAGCATTGGGGTCGTTAAGGATGGAGCTTGCAGGTATCCCTCTCTGCACAGTGTAAATTCAATATGAATCATTTCAACTTATATTTTAGATGATATCCCAGATGTTCTGAGTGTGAGGAGGCGTGTTGACTAGCTTTAATGTAATTTGGTTGGACAGTTTAGTTGCGGAATTTCCAGTGTCTTTATCTTTGGCTCCTTCTTTTAAGGCAGATCAAATTCAACTAGAGGTGACCCTCCAGCTTCCTACCTGGAGGGTACAGATCTGGTTGTAAACACTCTGGGACCTGAAAGGAGGAAAAGGACTCTGCGGCTAACATACACTTCAACCAGTGCAGAGACCAAAAAAGCCTGTCCTTTGCCAAGGAGGGGACCTAGGAGTGCCAGCAAGAGCTGAGTAGAGGACCTAGGGATTTGACAATTTCAGAAACAAACATGGAAGGTGGTATCGCGGGGACGGAAACAAACAGGGGAAGGGAAAAAAAGCAGCCCTTAGAGAAAACAGAAACCATTCAATGAGGAGAAAACCTTATTTATTTATACACTGAGATGTGTGACACCATTGCAACCATAAAACAGTAACAGGCTACTATTTTAAAAGGAGCATTCAGAGACAAAAAAATATGATAGTAGAAATGAGAATTCAATAAAAAGGTGGAAGATAAATTTTGGGAAGTATCCTAGGGGGAAAAAAAGCAAAAGGACAAAGAAATGAAAAATATGAAAGAAAAAATAAATTAGAGGACCACTACAGGGGGTTCAAAATACAAAAAATAAGAATTGTAAAACAACAACAACAGGGATTAGGGAAGGAGTTATCACCAACAAAACAAGAAAATTTCCCCCAAACTAAAGGTCATGAATTTCCAGCTTGAAGAGGTCCCACTGAGTGCCAAGCACAATGGGTACAACTTGACTCATCCCAAGGCTCATCATTGTGAGACTGCAGCACACTGGGGGCAAAAAGACAATCCTAGCCTTCCAAAGAGAAAAAGAGATCATTTAGAAAGGATCAAGAATCAGCATATCTTTTGATTTCTCAAGGGTCACAAAGAAAGCTAGAAGACATGGGAGCAGGTCTATTAAATTCCAAAGAAAATTTATTTCAAACTGAAATTCTGTACGTGACTAGTAAACTACCAATCAAGTGTGGATAAAGAATAAAGGTGTGGGGACTTCCCTGGTGGCGCAGTGGTTAAGAATCCGCCTGCCAATCCAGGGGACATGGGTTTGAGCCCTGGTCCGGGAAGATCCCACATGCCGCGGAGCAACTACGCCCGTGTGCCACAACTACGGAAGCCCGCGGGCCTAGAGCCCGTGCTCCGCAACAAGAGAAGCCACTGCAATCAGAAGTCCTCATACCACAACGAAGAGTAGCCGCCACTCTCCGCAACTAGAGAAAGCCCACGCACAGCAACGAAGACCCAACACAGCCAAAAAAAAAAAAAAAAAGGATAAAGGTGTGTTCAGACATTCAAGAGCTCAAAAAATTTCCCTTTCATTTATTTCTCCTTCCTCAGGAAGCTACTGGAGATGTACTCCACTAAAATGAGGGCTAAACAAAGAAAAAGAATGCATGGGATATAGGAAACAGAAGACACAACACAGGAGAAAAATAAAGTGGGAAGCCCTGAAAACAGCTGTGCACTAGACGTAGATGGTGCAGGTCAGAAGGCTCCAGAAGAGGCTCCTTCAGAAAGATGAGACTGATAGAACTTCTCATCTATCTGAATCTCTGGAGGGAGAGGTTTAAAGAATCATTAAGAAGTCTTAGTGATGAATAGTAAAAATAAGATCATTATTAACTGCAAGAAAAACAAAAAATTGAGGAGAAGTAATCATAGTATATTACTTCGCTCAAGATGTGAGTAATGTTTACCTAATTATAATGAAGTAAACACAAATCTGTTTTTAAAAGTACAGTATAACTGGGAACTTCTCTGGTAGTGCAGTGGATAAGACTCTGCGCTTCCAGTGCAGGGGGCCCGGGTTCAGTCCCTGGTCAGGGAATTAGATCCCACATGCATGCTGCAACTAAGAGTTTGCATGCCACAACTAAGGAGCCCTGGAGCTTCAACTAAGGAGCCCACATGCTGCAACTAAGAAGTCTGCCTGCCGCAACTAAGACCTGGTGCAAACAAACAAATAAATATTTTTAAAAAGGTACGATATAACTATATTAGGCAGATAAAGGGAAGGGAAGTGTGGTGGGGCTGGGGGAAGGAAGAAGAGCTAAACCTAATTTTCCACAAGTGAAGTCAATAGATAGTGCCTAAAAGTGAGACATCAAGAAATAGCAATGCAAACATTTTACATAGAGAAATGAAGGTAAAAAAAATCAAAATAACCAGTTGAAAGATGAAGTGACTTTGAGGAAAGGGAAACAGGGAAGGGGCAGGGTGGGGTTACAGTCTCTTCTGTTTCATTGCAAAACTTACAAGGTTTCTATAGAATTATTTGACTGTAAATCACAGATATGTATAATTGATAAAAATAAAATTAAAGGAGAAAAAAGATTGCTCTAAACCCCAATTTTTACTTCTGAACAATTCATATTCCAGTGAAGGAAACAGATGAAGTTTAAGATTGAGTGCAGTAAGTTCAACAAGGGAAATGTTTGCAATGACTGAGGGAGCACAGAAAACAATTAACTACTATCTGGGGAATGGAGAGAGTTATCTAAGATGGACAGAATGCTAGACAATAATAAGGATGAAACGAGATAAACTGTGTGTGCTAGGCACTTAGCAATCCATAGTACTGGTGTGGAGTTAAAAGCAGGATCCTGAATATTATACATAATATACATGTTAGGATGTAATTTTAGAGTCAAGGAGAACATTAAACTGTCAAATGTTTATTAGAGGGAGTTGGAATGGGGAAGAAGTTTTGAACACTCCTGTGTTATTTTAACTATAAAGGCCAATAAAGAGCTGCCTTTTTGGAAAACAAAAAAGCAAAAAATGCATGTTTTACTTGGATCTTGTCTAAGGAAGTTTAGGCTGAAATGCAAAAAGGGTAGGTTTTGACCATGGACCCAGTTAATGTCCAAAGAAACGTGAACATTCTTTCCTCCATACGTGCTTGTGGGGAGTTGGGCCACAATCTCAGAGAAGGTACTTTTTAAAGTACAGTTGACCATTGAACAAATCAAGTTTGAACTGCCCAGGTCCATCTATACAGATTTTTTTCAATAAATACTTACTACAGTACTATATCATCCGCAGTTAGTCGAATCCACGGATGTGGAACTGCAGATACAAAGGGCTGACTATAAAGTTATACTTGGATTTTCAACTGGACAGAGTTGGTGCCCCTAACCCCTGCATTGTTCAAAGGCCAACTGTATACGAAAATTAAAAGTTTAGATTGAATTTCTACTGTGTGGGTGTGGTAAAAATACTTGCAGTTGCTGTCATTGGTACATTAACCTATGAATTAACCACAGTTCAAGAAAATGTGATTGTACATGCATTAGGGACGGAAAAGTACTCAAAGTACTTAACTGAGGCGAATAATATCAGCGGAAGGCAGCATAGAACGCAACCAGTCTTAGCGAATTACGTATGATCAGCTAACCAGATTCCCACATGTAAACCCAGATTTTAAAAACAAGTCTACTGCTGCTATGGAAAACTATATGGGGGTTGGTCAAAAATTTTAAAATGTAATTACCATATGACACAGCAGTTCCCCTCTGGGTATATACCCCCCGCCAAAGCGCAGGTGCGACCGCCTGAGAGCTCATGGAGTGAAAGGACCACGGTGAGCTCCAGCCTCGCAGGTTGCAAGGCCAAAGGGTGCAAACAAGAAGCTTCCCGGGGGCCACTGAGCAGGGGTGGGCGGGACCTCCTCCACAGGTTGGTGGGCGGGGCCGGAGGAGGCGTGGCCGGCGGCGGAGGGCGTGCTCCGCCCCGGGGTGGGGCCAGCCGGCAGCGGCGCGTCGTTGCGCCGCACGTGTGCGAGGCCAGCCGCTGTGAGTCCGCCTGAGCGCGGCGGGGTCCAGGTGCTTACCGAGCTCGCTGCTTATGCCTGGCCGCCCTTGCGGCTGGTTCTTACGAGTGGCCCTTGCCGCCGCCGCCCTCCTGCGCCCGGAGCAGCGCGCCCGCCTCCTTGTCGCCCGGTCCGCGCCGCGCGCGCGCTCTCAGGCCCCGGGTAAGTGTGCGACCTCCCCACAGCCGCCCGGGCTCTGCGGCCAGCCCTCGGCCCTGCCACGCGGCCCAAAACCCCGCCCGGAGGGGCAGCGTAGACTGGGAAGGCGTCCCGGCCGTGGTCTGAGCCCGCGGCGCGCCCGAGGCGCCTCCATTACGGATCGTGCCTGCGGGAGCGTGGCGGGAGCCCGGCTGGTTCTGCGGTTCGGCGGTTCCAGCCCCGCCCCCAGCTCTCCCGGCGGGTCCTCTTAGGCGCCGCGCCCTCCCTCCTCCCCGCGGCGCTGTTAGCCCGAGGATCTCAGTCCCACTCCTCCCTTTCTTTGCCCCTGAGGCTCCCTAAACTCTTCTTCCTCCCGGAAGAGAAAACCCGCCTTTATCCCGAAGCCCTTTATAGCTTCCGTACACCGCTGAGCCAGGCTTCTACCGGGTCCAGCCCACGTGCTTTCGTTCTCTTATTTATCTGTCATTACTAACAGCGAACCTACTACGTGCCAAGCAGGCACTCAGGTGACTGCTTGTTTTGTATACGTCTTCCAGTGTAGGAGCAAACCGGAGTTTTTCTCGGTCAGTGTTTAATGAGTGGATGGAGGAGGTGCTGCTGGGCGTGTTGACCCATCCGCACGGAGTC